AGGCGCTGTTCTTTCTCCTTTTCTGTTTTCTTTCTTCTTACATGACTTGCCTCACTCTGATGAAATGAACTTCGTTAAGTATGCCGATGATCTAACTATTTCAATGTCTGTTAACTCCCAGCTAGACTGTACTAAGATGAGTAGCTTTCTATCAGTAGTTAGCAAATGGTTTTCGCCTAATTATCTTTAACTAAATTCTTCCAAATGTCAGATTGTTAATTTTAGTTCTATCTTCTGATCTCTGCTGGCCTTCCCATGTCTTAGTGATCTCTAGAAAAAATATTCCTTCTAACGTTTTATATTAGGAATTTAAGGCATTTAGGCATAACTCAACCTCTCCTCCCGCATTTCGTCAACTCGTGCATGCTACCTATTCTTCTTCACTGTTCACCCTTATTCTTTCTTGGATTGCTTAAAAAGACTATGTGATACTTCGTAAAACTCTGAAGACTGTCAGTCAGTAGGGCGAGTGGTATTCCATAGGGGGCTATTTCGTTGACATCGTCATTGGTAGGCAGTTGATTTCACGCTATTGTTCTTCTTATATTTACAAGTACTGTTTTTGGAATAAAGTAGATTATTATTATTATTATTATTATTACCCTGTAGTCAATCATCAATGAGCACTAGATTAGATTTCAAAGGCCAGTTCTCGCTATATATTCACCAATTAGTAGACGTCAGGATAAATGAGCCATTGGTTTCTGTTCCAGTAGCTGAATGGTCGACAAGCTTACCTTCTTGCGGTCATAGATATGTAGTGCTGAAGAGTCCCAAACAAGGACGAAACTACTATATAATACTGGCTAGTTTTCAATGGTTCTTCAAGTGAAGTCAGTATGCAATGAAGCATGAAAGGATTAATTGTCTTTACTCAACAATTACATTCATGATTAGCGTACATTTTTGAAGAAAAAACAACTATTCTTTTATTCAGTTAAATCTACTTTCACTTCAAACAACCTAATGACATAATAAATAGAAAAAAATTATTGAATTGTCAAGAGATATGAATGTAGAATAAGTAATTGAAATACATTTTTTTTAATTTCATGTGTCTACCTACATGTGACATACTTTTATCTTTCTTCTTTCTTTTTAAATTCTTTCTATGTGATCACATTTGATTCTCCTTTTTCAAACTCTGATCAGAAAACTATTCGAATATCAATTTATCTGCTACTTATAAAATATTCACATGTAACTACACTGATACTGATTCTCTCTCTTTCTGTATGTGAATGCTAAACGATTTACATGTGACAGGGATCAGTTATCGTATTTAATTATGTCAGGAGGAGAAGAATGTTTCAGTTGACCTTCTTCACTCACCACACTCATCTCCTTCAACCCCAGATTTATCTCTGTTTCTCGCATCTTTCTATTTCTTATTTGCCATTTATGTGAATAAAATTGCCAATGTGATTAACTTTCATTATATGGTTTAAAAGTGTATACTATGCAATATTGAAAAGTAAAAGGGTTACTATATTTACGAAACGAGATGAAAGACATTCACTATAGATTTATACATGGAATAAGGTCTATTAGTAATGACTTTGATGATCAAATTGCAACTCTACGCATCGGCATCATCATCGTCATCGAAAAAAGCATAGAATGGCAGTCAAACCCCTGTCTACCTCAACTTCATCGACTTTGAAAAGGCCTTTGACAGACAGCGTTGACCGAGAAGTAATATGGAAACTACTTCAACACTGCGGCTTGCGGTGCTCAACTCTTTATCAACCTTTTCAAGTATTGGGTTGTAGGGATTTCGTTGAGCGGTTACAGGATTTCATCATGAGCTGACATCAGTTAGAGAACCATTGGAAAACCAGCTAGGAGTACTGGACAGCTGTTTCGTTCTAGTTTGGGACTCTTCGTCAGGACGCACCCAACGGGGTTCGAATCCCGGACCTTCTGGTTACAAGGCTAGCGTGCTCGTATACCATTAAGCCACTGGGACCCAATCCAATGACCAGCCCATAAATTCTAACTTCTGCGAATTTACGACATAGCGCAATCGCTAGCCACTGTCTTCGGCGAGTATTTCTCCTCACACCCAACCGGCTGCACCCTACTGGTCACGATTTCCCACTGGGACCCCAGGTAACTACCTACCTGAATAGGGCCAGTCGCCAGTGAGCATCTCATTGATATTCAATTATTTATCAACCTCATTCAATGGCTAGCTATATGACAATGCCTGACACGTATCAGGTTGCAACAACAGAAGACAAGGGCCAGGCAACAGATCGTTTATTAAAGGAAATCAACACATATTTATAGCTTTTCATGTACATTATTATAGATTATTGTTAGCAGAAAAACACAGTCCTCTGATTGGTTGTTTCTCACAGAAAGTTAACATTTCATCTCTTTTTGTGGCTGTTTCTTGAATGTCAGATCATCTATATGCTAACTGTATCCGCCTACGCAAAGTCTTTGTTCTCATTTTTCTCACGACCAATATTTGGGACATGTAAACATTGACGTAAATTAATGTCTACCAATTTGGCTAGCAGCCAGCTCTCACTACAAGATGATCCACAACGGGAAACTCACAGAGGCGTTCGAGGTGGACACAGGAGTAAATAAGACAAGGCTGGCTGCCGATAATAGTCTTAATTGTGGTGGATGGATCATGTGTCAGACTATGGATAGTGAGAAGACAAGAGTACGCTGGAAAGATAAAAAGACTCTAGAAGTTCTGGATTTCGTGTGTGGATGATTTATGCTTAGTGTTACACAAACTCGAAGACTTACAGGCGAAGGGGTGGCAGCGAAGAGTGAAGTTTGAGTGAACGTAGAGAATACGGAGGTGATGAAGATAGCCAAACACCAACCACCAAACAGCAACAGCAACAACAACCAGCACCAATCACCCACCATCAACGGAAGAGATTTAACAGAGGTTACCTCCTTCACTTATCCAGCCAGGAAGTACGGTTTCAACCACAGGCAGACGGAACGGCTGATGACATTTTTATTGCCTGTGGAAGGAGATCAAAAGCTGAAGACATGTTGATAAAATTCAACTCATGCCACCCTAATCTCAATTTCAGAATAGAACACGAAGAAAATGATATTATTAAATTCCTAGACGTGTTTTTTAGTAAAAGTGACTGATGGCTTAATCGAAAGATCTATATTTAGAAAGTCGTCATGGACAGGACAGGACAGTACATGCATTTCAGGAGTTTAGTTCCAATCAAGTATAAAAAGAACTTAGTCAGAACACTGTTCAATAGAGCACGGAAAATTTGTTCTAACAGTACTATTGAGCATGAAATAAAAGCTTTGAAGGATATTTTATATAAGAATGAATATCCTGAGAAGTTCATCAATAAATACTCAAGAGAAATTAGCCCCTGAAGAAACTATCCAAACAGTTCCGAAGAAATCTGTCTATATCAGTTTGCCATTCAAAGGAGATGATGTACAAGAAGTAGTGAAACGAAGACTCGATAAAGCTACGCTGCAAAACTTGTTTTCCTTAACACCACTAAGTGAGTGCTTCAACAATCTGAGAAAGACCTCGACACTTCAAACTGCGTATATAAATTTGAGTGTGTTTGTGGAAGCAGAAAGGCGATTGTCTACTCGTATGATGGAACATTTGCCAAAGTGGTTGAAAACAGCTGAATGCAAAGTGCCAAAAACCTCAATAACAAAACATCTTGTGGATTACGGACATGATATCGACTCGGTCAAGTCATTCACTGTTGTCGGTCAGCAGACAAATAAACAGGAAGATGCTTGCAATTGCAGAGGCTTGTGCAATTCGAGTTTATAAACCAGGTCTCTGTGCACAGAAGGAGATGATCGTCACTCTGAATCTACCATGTTAATATGTTTTACTTTTTATTCTACCTCTTATTATTATTTTTATTCATTTAAAACTATCCTTTATCAGTAGGATTATCTTAACTCGCTTCAACATTATTATTATTATTACAACTATTACTACTGATATTACTCTGTTTGCAATTCTTGATATATTCTCTAATGACTAATTGTTTATCTAAGTGATGTAATTGAAGCGTAATGCATTTTATCTTAATTTTAATCTCTTATACTCCCTACCTCCTTATCTATTTGAACATGACCTGGAAAAACATTCGCACCTGTCTTTCTGCATGATTAATTCAATGTAGTTTGATTGCATGGAGTATTTCATCATGAGCTGACATCATTTAGGTTTTCCAGTGGTTCTCTAACTGATGTCAGCTCATGATGAAATCCTCCATGCAATCAAACAAAATCCCTACAAAAACCAATGCTTGAAAATTAATCTGATGCTCACTAGTGACTGGCCCTATTCAGGCAGTTAACCTGGGGTTCTAGTGGGAAGCCGTAACCAGTAGGGTACAGCAGGTTGAAGATGAGGCAGTAACTCATCCGATAAGACATTGCGAAGTGGTCGCGCTATGTCGTGAATTGGCAGAAGTTAGAATTCAAGGACCATTGGATCGGGTCCCAGTGGTTCAATGGTCTACGAGCTCGCTAGCCTTGTAACCAGAAGGTCCTGGGTTCGAATCCCGGTGGGTGCGTACTGATGAGGAGTTCCAAACTAGGACGGAGGAAACAGCTGTCTGGCAGTACTCCGTGGCAGGTTTTCCAATGGTTCTCTAACTGATGTCAGCTCATGATGAAATCCTCCACCCAACCAATTAAAATTCCCTACAAAAACCAATACTTGAAACTCAATGTAGTTTGTCTACTTACCAGTCTTGTATCTCCCAATGTAATTTCAATAGTATGTATATATCCGTGTATGTAGAGTATTCAGCTGACGAGTTCTACCGAAATCTGATGAACTGATTAAATCCTGCTTTATAAGCCTTTGTTGCTTGTTTAAGATCCTTTTATCGGCTTATAGAAAGATCTCAAAATAAGAAAGCATATTATCAAAATCACTCACACACTATATATAATATTTTTTTTGTGTAATATTAATAGTATTGTCAATTATTATTGATTTTTTCTTACTGTAGAAATTATCTGGATCTGTCAATCGTTGTTGGCAAAATCTTGGCAAATATTCAGAATTAGCAACAATCCATCTTAAAAATGCTGCAGATTTTCATCAGGTAAAAAAAAAAGAAATATTCGCGTAGTTACATAGTTTTTCTTTACAACTCACTATATGCTTTTTTTGTCAGTGTGCTTTTTTCTATGTACAGCATTTATCATCTCATTGCATTGAGTTCCTAGTGGAACATAAGACCTTCAACAGGGCATCTTAACTTTCTGCTATTCCTTGAAGGCTTTCTCAGGTGCCTACATGATTTCTCATGAGCTCCTATGTTAACCATACACGTAATCATACATGTCCCTCTCTGACCAGGTCCAACTAGCCGACACTCGAACGCCTGTCTTCATCATATTTCTTGGGCACTTGGTTCTTGGTTGATTGGTCTGTTACACTGCAGAATTCCTTGTTGTTTGTCCACTCTGGTTAGCCATCTCATCTTCAATATGGTACCAAAGAGGGCAGTAGTCTTTCGCAAGTCTACGGTAATAGCTACCATGTTATGGTTGCCTTGGCAACCGATAGTAAATAAAGAAATAAAACATTTCTCTTTAATTTCACGTTTATTTCACATGTATACCCCAAAATGCATATATTCTGTGGAATCAAACAACAGTTCTGCTTAGTGTATAAGAAAATGAAATTTAAAATATTAGTATGATATATTCGTCTTTCGTAAATATTACAACTGACGTTGACTATATTGAAAATATTTGATTTATTGTGACTTCTGACCTCCATTGTTGTAGTAAGCCATAGATTTTATGTATCAGAAAGACGAAGGTAGAATAAACTTCTTTGGAATGCAAAGATTAGGCCTATTCTCTAGAATTTTCATAGCTCCAGCCATGTGTAAAAGAGTAGTTCGAATCCTGTTCAAAAGGTTTAAGAATAATATCAGCTCTATTTTGGATATTATGTTAAAATACACCACAGATTGAACGAAAGATTACTTATTCAAACTGCCACAGAAAAGGAAACTTAAGTCAATGCAAAAACTGGCGTGGCATTATGCTCCTGTCCATCCCAAGCAAAATACTAAGCCCCTTCATCATCCAGAAGAGAATCAAACACCCCCTGTATGAAAAACTTCGATCAGAACAGGTTGGATTCAGGAGAAACAAGTCAGGCATCGATAGAATCACAACACTACGGATCATCATTGAACAGAGCTTGGAATGGCAGTCAGCTCTCTATCTCAACTTCACTGACTTTGAAAAGGCCTTCGACAGCGTCAATCGAGAGGTGATTTGGGAACTAATTCGCTAATTTCAAAAGCTACCACCAACAATTATACATCTCATCCAACAGTTGTACGACAATGCTGCATGTCAGGTAATCCACAACGGGAAACTCATGGAACCCTTCGAAGAAGTGAAGACGGGAGTAAGACAAGGAAGGCTGACTGCCTACTATCTCCAATGATTTTCCTGATTGCGGTAAACTGGATAATGCGACAGACAGCGGGCCGGGCAGCGAGGAAACAGGCATAAAATGGACTCACACAAAAAACTTAAAGGATCTGGACTTCACCGATGATATTTGTCTGATTTCCCACAAACTGGAAGATATGCAAGTAAAAAGCAACAGGTTGGCAGAAGAAGCATCCAGAGAAGACAGGACTTCAGGTGAACATAGAGAAAACAGAGGTGATGAAGATTCCTAGCCAACAGAAACAGCAACAACCACAACAACAACAGACAACAATCAGCATAAATGGGAGGAATCTGAAAGAAGCAACCTCCTTCACCTACCTACCTGGGGAGCATCGTTTCAACTACAGACGGATGGAACTGATGAGGATATCAAAATGAGGATCGGGAAAGCAAGACAAGCTTTCATTACTCTCAAGTCTGTGTGGAGATCAACAGCACTCAGCATGAAAAATAAGATCTGGATTTTCAACTACAATGTGAAGTCAGTGCTACTTACTATACGGATCGAAGACTTGGCGCCGCGTCAAGAAGGGCACTTCGAACAAACTACACACCTTCATCAACAGCTATCTTCGCTCATGGCCAAAGCCAAGGTCTTTCAAAAGTTGGCCTTCAAGAACAAATTAGACACAGGGAATGCTACGAAAAGTCATTCTAAATCAAATCACGTCTGCCTTTTCGAACTTATTGAGGGTAGATACAGTATTGTACTTATTTCTTGGTACTTTTACTGCAAATCTATACCGTTAGGTAGAGTAATGGCTTTTTAGATTAAGGTTTAGGGTTAAAGTTAGGATTATGGTTAGAGTTAGAAGTAGGTTGAAGAAGAGTGTCAGAAATATCGACGAATCTCAAACTACCATAACTCACAGTCACCTGGATGAATGCGTATATAGCACATGGTATGATTTCTCTATAGATCATCTGTGTAGTGACTGGGAGACATTCTTACAACACATAAGCCACAACTTCGCCGTCAACACTACGGCGTACCTCAAGTCTTTGTCAACCTCATTCAACAGCTATATGTCAGTTGATCCACAACGGAAAACTCAGTGAGGCGTTCGAAGTGCATACAGGAGTAAGACAACCTGGCTGACTGCTATTATCACCGATGATATTCTTTATTGTCGTGGACTGGATTATGCATCAGACTGTTGGGGGCGAGGAGTCAGGAATACGTTGCACTGACCGATAAGAAGACTCTAGAAGATCTGGATTTCGCTCGTTGATGATATATGTCTAATGTCACACAAACTCGAAGACTTGCAGAAGAAAGTCAACAAACTGGGAGAAGACGCGAGCAGAGAAGAGAGGACTCTAAGTGAACATAGGGAAGACGGAGCTGACAAGGATAACCAACGAACAGCAACAGCAACAACAACCAGCACCAATCACCATCAATGGAAGAGATTTAACAGAGGTTACCTCCTTCACTTATCTGGCCAGGAAGCATCGTTTCAACTACAGGCGGATGGCATGGATGAAGATGTCAAAGCTAGCCGGAATCGGAAAAGCAGGATACGCCTTCATCAACATGAAACCAGTTTGGTAATCTTCCGCACTTCACAGCATAGAGAACGAGATTCGAACTGTATTCAACAAAAATGTCAAGTCGGTTTTCTATACGGGTCAGAAACTTGCACTGCGTGTCACGGAAAGGATTTCCAACAGGTTGCAGACTCTCATCAACTGTCGCCTTCGCTGTCTCCAAATTGTAGATCAAATGGCCAGAAAGAATAAGCAACAAGAAACTATGGGAACAAACCAACAAGCAAGAGCCGATCACTCAACAAACATGTAGGAGAAAGTGGAGATGGATCGGGCATACATTGAGGAGGCCGCCGAATGACATCGCACTCTAGGTCGCTCGAGTGAAATCCCAATTGGAAGCGACGAGTTGGTTGGTGTTAGGGTGACATGGAAGAGATCGTGTGAGGAAGAGATGAGAGGACGGCAGAAAACAGAACAAAGTGGAGATGTGTTGTTGAAGCCGTATGTTCCACTCGGAACGCAAGGGAATAATAAAAAAATGCAGTGTGATAACATTTTTGCAATGTCTTTTAGTGCATTTTTCAACGACTATGTGACGGTTTTGCATCTGAATTCTGATTGGTTGCTCAAGGTCACAGCAGTTTGGCTGTTATAGTTTAACTTTGCCGATCTCGTTATAATACAAAATTTCGCTTAACTTACTAACACAACTTTTCTTCATCTAAGTTAATATCGTTTTGGTAAATAACTAAAATCCATCCTTTTTTATAAAAAAATTTCTTTTCTAGTTCTATTACGACGCAAGACATCTTGAAGTGAAACTGAATGATAGACATAAGAGATTTTTACACAATCGCAGTCGATTCGCTGAAATGAATCATGAATTCTATACAAATTCTTCAAAAGAATTACGAGATTGGTTAAGAGTAAGTGTCGTTTTGCCTTTTGTGTTTTCTAAATATTCTAATACTACTATTACTACTACTAATATAAAAACCTTTATTCTGGATAGCATTTTTAAAATGTACAGAATTTTCAGAAGAGTTTATTGCATGATATTTCCCCTTTGTACAATATCTTCAAGTAACATAATAATTGACAGTATATCCTGTGACACACAATGATCTCTGAGCTGAAGCATAAACCATACCATTATGATGTATATCTGCTTTGTCTCCTTCCTTCAAGAAATCCACGATATCTAGCTGTGAAAGCCAATTGTAAGATGTTCAGAAGTACATTTTTAGACCCAAGGACTCAACTGGAGAACAATTATCTCATGTATTGGAAGACATTGCCTCCCACAGTCAGACTTTTCTGCAAGTTTAGTAGGAACTTGCGAAACAGAAGCTTGTAAACAATTTAAATACACACCAGAGTAGATAATGCCGCTAGGGGTCATATTTTAATCAATTTAAACAAACCGAACGAGAGAAAATATATGCCATGGAGGGATGGGAGTTTGTGGTAGCCAAAATTTTACGCAGGCCGCCTCTACTACTACTGATCAAACGATGGAAGACGAAAGACGTGGTAAAGAAATGTTTATTTGGTCAGATGTTCGTGTTGTGGTACTTCTGGACCTCATGTTGTGTTTCTTTGTGTTCCTTTTACGTCTCCCATGTATCTCCACAACGCTGTATCATTTGCCTTTCTCTGACATCAAATGTAACTCTTTGCTATTTGGTGTTTTTATGCTGATGGACGTCTCTTTATATACTACTGGTAAATCTTATCAGTAGCACTCGCCACAATACTACCACTCAAAAATTCATACCCAAATAACATTTATCAATTTTCGTTCACTTCTTTGTATTCCGAGTGAAACATACGGCAGCAATCTTGAAGCCTTAAGGTTTCAGTAGCTGTGGTGTTTTGGTCTGCTAGTCTCACATGGTCAAACTTCCCTAGTAAACTAGATTAGATTTAGAAGTGAGTGCATCGCCTGGGAATCAATCCCCTTACCATATGCATGTTTGACTAGCACTCTACTACTGAAAGACTAACTCAGCAACCTTTATCATTATTAGTCATCAAAGATAATGAAATGACGATGTCTTCTGGGAACATGATTTCAGGAAGCAAATACATATTTTTGGTAAATTCTCATAGAATTAATTATCGGATCTTGTATATGACTTTGAAGGACTTATGAAATGGGGCTGCATACCCCTTAGCGTTCTCCCTTTGCTAACCATGCTGGATAGTGTTCCCGAGCGCGTTTTACAAGTGGATGCATGGTATGGTCAATGCACTCAGCTCCACACGAGCAAGTGAACTTGTTGAAGTGGTCCAATGCCACAGTTTGTCTTTCACATGCTGGGAGAGTAGTTTCTTGCAGGAGAATATTTTTGTACATCAGCGGAGAAGCTTTACTCAGAGACATTTTAAGCTATCTTCGGGATGTTTCTGCTTCAGTATCACATTTAATTTCGAGGTTCAATACTAGTATCATTTTGGGGCAACTTGGACCTTTTCAGGTGTTTTCCTTGGTTTTAGATTCTTGTCTATGAATCTGGGTGGGAATCCATTTTTAATATCGGTCATAGATATTTGATATAATGTAAATCCATAGAGTGAAATATAATCAAGGCGAATACAAGTAGAATGATAATAATGAACCGTGAAACTAAGATTAAAACAGGCAACTATACAACAGTATCACACTGATAATAAAGTTGGCAGTACAAATAAAAATAAAAACAATATTTACGGTTATCCGTTGTCAGGGTTGAAGGCTGTGGGAGAGAGAGGAATTGAAAAAGAACTCCTTCTGAACACAGATATTGGGCTTACAATTATTTATGGCTACCACTCAGGAAATTGAGGTGGCACCTTATATAGAATTGTGAAGGCTGACTTTTCTCTAATCAGTAATCTTCTCCATATCCACAAGGTGTGCTCAAATAGAACTCCTGATTGACTTTACAGCTTCTATAACTAACCATGTAGGACAATTCTTAAAACGGCGCCGGTAGGCTCTCCAATTCGTATCCTACCTGTATAACAGTTAAATGTTTGTGACAAAATTCATACTACTTTTATATTTAAAAGTAGACTGTGAAGCTAACAGAAAACTTCACTTGATTAGTCCACTCATCATGTGATAAGAAAGATATATGCATATAAAATCTAATCAGTAGTTGAGGGACGGGTTAAGGGGGAGGCTGTCAAGACTAATAAATTTATATTTATGCGGGATGCAAAGGAATTCAAAATGATTTATCCAGGGACTGACTAAAGTATACAGCATATATGAATTTTCAGAGATAAGATTATAAGCAGAGTATCTTTTTACTGCGAAGATAGAAAAAGAAAAAGAAAAATATAGATACTTTAGTTGACCTCATTCCATAACAGTATAAATTTATTTCATTTTGTTTTAATAGAAGAAGAGCTTTAAATGATTCTATTTGGCATTCTTTGAAAATTCAAAGAAAAATATAAATATGTATATTTACTTTGTATAATATTAGCTGGTTGATGTTAGAAATAATTAACTAACAAAATATAAGTGCATACAACTAAATAATTACCTATAGTGAATGAACTCAACTTTTGAGAGTTGTGTTTTATTTATTTTTTTTTGCTTCATTTGAGCATTCCTTTTTTCTTTATTTCATTTTTTCTTCTTCTTCTACAAATCATTTTTAATTGAAGCCATTAGTTAAGCAATTAAAATAAGCAAAAAATTATTACATCGGCATATATACTACTGATTAGTTGATATGAGTAGTGATCTAAACACTCATTTAAGACCAATCTCATCAGTTGTGTACCCGCATTCATTCTAAGCTCAATGTGTCGGATCAGTTGAAACCACTTGAATGTTTCCTGGATGGCTCCAGACCACTGATATGAATCTGAATTAAGCAAGAACAATAGTTTGTGCAGAATAAGATGATACCATTACTGTTTATTTCGTTGGCTTCTCATCAACTGCATACAGCATAACGAAATTGTTAGTTAAGTTTATGTACAGAACAACTGTAAGATACTTGCAAATGTTGCATGATGTTGGTTGATAAAAAGTGCTCAATAAGTTCAGGTTTAGACAGAAACAAGAGTGATTGAATATATGGGAAAAGGAGTTACGTAGTAAAGACAAGTGGTGAATAGTATGATGAGTAACTAATAAATTGATCAACAGTGTGGAACAAGAAAGGAACAAAATTATACTATATAAAAGGAGAGATAGTTTGCGTAGTCAAATGAGAGAGAATGTAAAGACATCCAGTTACTAGGATGGACTAGGAAATACTGATAACTGCTTCTTTCTGAACACATAAATCTTGTTTCAGGCGTTTGATAACAATCGCTCTGGCAGACTTGAGGAGATTAGTGGATGCTGACTAGCAGTGGAATCCTGTTTGGGACTAGTCATCTGGATGTACCTGCATTCCCCAGTGAGTTAGGGTATCCCCACCGAGGCTCGAACCTGAGGCCGACCACTTCGGCCCAATCAGTCGAGGGTAAAATCTAAAATTGAATTAAATAATTGATAAGACCCGTTGCACAAGAGGTAGCTCTGTGGCCCAAGTGGTCTAGTGAATAACACTTTGGTGTTTGAAAACATGGGCATTAGGTTCAAGCCTCGGTGGGGACACCATCACTCACTCACTGGGGAATTCAGGCACATCCAGATGACAAGTCCCAAATACGGCGAAATGCAAAGTAAATGTTGTACCAAATACTACTGATCGACTGATATAAGTAGTTGCGTGCTAACAATATCTAAGTGATGTAAAGGATGGATCTGCAAACATTAAAAGCAAGACTCATAACCAATGCCTAATTCTTTACATATCAACAAGCATGTCTACTTTCAAGAGTTAATTTGTAGGAATTTGATTCGCTTTAAGTTTCATCACGAGCTGATATCAGTTGAAGAATTATCAGAAAACCAAGAAGTACTGGACAGCTAGACAAATACTCACCGATGACACTGGTTGGTGGTGGTCACACAAAAATCAATGGCCGATGGAATGGTTCCTAGTGATTGAATCACCTACGAGCTTCCTCTATAACCGGAAGTTCCTGGATTCGAACCCTGGTGAGTACGTGCTGATGAAGAGTCGCAAACTAAGGCCAGACAGCTGTCCAGTACTACCTGCTGGCTCTCTAACTGATATCAGCTTGTACACAACCATGAAGAATATGCATAGTGTAGGTTAGTCTCTTATGAACAGAAATTACTTATCACTTTCTAAAAAATAGTGGCAATAAATATGGCAAAAAGACCACGGATAAACTTTCACTATATATATGAGCATTAGATTCATTCGTGTCTTCTTTTGTAAAGGCAAAAGACAAAGGTACTTGGTAACGGAATTGTTTATTAGTAACTCGATGTACAGATACAGTCAAAATGCGTGTTCCATAAAGTAGAATCACATTTTGCACACATCTTAGATATTGTGCTACTTTTGTCGCCTGTATTGTGCTTCTTTATCTTTCTTTTCATGTTTTCTGTGTTCTTTCACGAGAATGGTATATTTCTTTTCTTCACCACTAAATCCGTGCCTCTGCTATTCACTGTTCTTGCAGATGATATACATATTTTTATCTGTATCTATATACTACTTATTAGTCTTGTCAGTAACCACACCACAATTGCATAATTTTCTGGCTGATCGTATGTTGTTGTTTTCTAAGTATAACGATTTAGCGGCGTAATCTCTATAGTTGTTTAGGAATTTTAGGAGGGTGGTGGGTGAACTGTTTTCAGCTTGTTTTGATGAATTTTGCGCGACTGATTTTATCAACAGGTGTTACAGACACTGTCTACATGCTTAGTCTGAGTGAATATTTAGTCGGAAGATAAATTTTTGTTGCCTACCCATTGATAGACGACATATTGGGTAGCGTCAGTTTACTTGTTGTGATTACATAAACACTACTGTCAAATCCTTAAAAAGCATCCTTTCGTGAACAAGTTTATTTTCAAACATGAGCAAGGAGTTGTCGTACTAACATTTTTGTGACCGTTCTAAGGAAACAGTACCAGTGATTTGCTTAAAAATTTGGATTACATGACATGAAAAAGGAATGATTAGCAGAAACCCTTATGATTCAAGTACGCAAGATTTAGAATACAGTTTATTTTGAAATTATAATCACAACCCGGTGATATTTTGCCAAAATATAGGGAAGTCTCACTCAGCATGAAAAGTAAGATCCGGATTTTCAACTCCAGTATGGATTCACTGCTACCATACAAATCAGAGACTTGGCGCCGCCTCACGGAGGGTACTTCGGGCAAGCCACGCACCTTCATCAACAGCTGTCTTCACTCAACGCTACTCAAAATCAGATGGCCGGCCAGAAGATATCAGCAGCAGGGATGGACGTCTAGCATTGAGCGAACCAACCCATCAGGAACCGATTGTGCAACAAATATGCAGGAAGAACTACAGGTGGATTGGCCATACTCTGAGAAAACAAACCATCGAGTGAGTGACATCACACGCCATGCCATCACTCGAGTGGAACCCGAATGGGAAGAGGGGAGTTGGTCGGCAGTTTGAGGGGGACAGGGAAGAGATCATGTGAAGAGGAGATGACAGTATATGGGCAGATGTGGAGCCAGGTGAAGACGTTGTCGGGGAACCAAACGCAATGGAGACGTGCGCGGCCGAAGCCCTATTTTCCGCTAGGAATTAAATGGAACAATAATAATAACAGGGAAGTCGCGAAGTTATGATCTCTGATGACGTATCAACCTGTAACTGCACTGGATTGCCATTTGCACTGATGCCTATAAAATTTTGGCAGTCCAGTGTGTAAGCATATGAAGAGACTGCGAGATTAAGAGATTAACCTACTGATTTGGAATTGGATCTTCGGCGATAACTTGGGGTATGATCCCCAATGACTGTCGCTGTATATTGTCACTGGCAAAATACCTTCTTTATGTCCAACAACATTACAGTCTTGACATCGAATCTGTTTATACGGATAAGAACTGACGAAATGCCAAGCACCACAATGCCAGTAGGATAATGGCGTTTCCTTCTTTGTGCACCGCGTGAGTAGCTGGGATGGTGAACAGTCACAGTAGGATGAGGACAGGTCTGGTCAGGATTTAATGAGAATCTGGAGAATACATCTGCCATAAATTAGAATCACAATTTTCACATATCTTTGGTATTGTACTACTTTTGTGGTGAGAGCTGTCTGCAAGCCGAAATTGTAGACAACAATTTACGTCAATGTTTACGTCCCGAATCGGAGTCATGAGAAAAGACAATAGCAAGGCTTAACCTTGAAGAACTCACCAACCAATCACAGCAGACTGAACGTGCGCAAATACGATTCGCAGATATATGGCCTGAGTTTCTAAGAAACGACCACAAAGAGATGACAGAATAACCTTCAGCAAGCAAACAGCCAATCAGAGGACTTTGATTCTCAACTGATAATAATGTACATAAAAATCTATAAATATCTGTTGATTTTCTCAGTAAACGATTTGTTGCCTAACCCTTGTCTTCTGTCATTACACTTTCACCTTCCTATCATCATTTCTATGTTGTTTCACAGGAATCGTCCACTTCTTCTCTTCGGCATTAAATCCACCTCTCTACGTTATTCGATATTCTTGCAGATGGTTTTACATATTTATATCTGAATCTATATACTACTTATTAATCTTGTCAGTAGCGCACGCCACACTTTCAAGATATTCAGTTATGTATGCATCTATCTATTGTTTTTTTTTCTAAAATTCTTTATAGAGTCAATTTGATCATTTAAATTATATGGTAAATCGTTCGAAACAACTAATTGAACAATCAAAATCTCTTGTACCAATATACTTACGTACAAATCGTATCAAATCACCAGTTAATGCTATCATGTTATGCGATTATGAAACACCGAAATTTAAATTCACCGCCGGTGAAAGAATCATATTGATTGATAATATGGCTGGTGGAATAGACGGGAAAAAGAAATTTATTCTAAGGACGACACAAAAAGATGATGAATTCACTGTCTCGGGTGAATCAACCAACATAACATCAGATGCGATAGATACAACTGAAACAGATATTGAAAGTGGATCAAGAACTGAGGAAATTGATGATCGTTCAAGTGATAGTAATACTTATAATTATTTACGTTATACATCACCAAGAATATCAACAATGCCATATTGGAATTTCGGTCATGGACAACATATTGGTAGTACTGAAGAATCAAGTACAGAACAGACGACAACTACTACATATACTGAAAATGTTAGTCCACTTGGACAGTCATCATCAAAACTTCAATGGCATATTCGAAGTTTAGATGGAAAAACTGAAGCATTGGTACCATCTGTATGCGTATGGATTCCATCACCAGATATGGAAGCTCAAGAGAAGGCGATAAAGTAAGCAATGCTATTTATTTATTTATTTATTTATTGGTTTTAATTAACTTTGGTAATTTAAAGTTATGTGCGTCCTAACCCCAATCGCTGAAGTGGTTCGTGTTTGATTCCCAGCCAATGCACCCTTGAACCCCACCTCTCCAGTAGAAAGCCTAATAAAGAGGGAAGGTTAAGCGTGAGCCTACCACCTTCACCTTGTAAAGAACATCATCACCATCGAAACTTCAAACCTCAAGCCTTAGATCCCATGTTCCAACAGAAACTCAAAGGAGGCGAAAAAATAATGATTAAAGCTTTGAAAAACATCTCCAATCGTCTTCGTGAGTTACGGTCAAGCATGCTTTTTTCAGCGACACCCATATGAGAAATTCAAATTACAAGAGTCAATTAATGTTTATTCTGTGAGAGTATTAATGGAAGTTAGGACGAAAATCTGGGGAAAAACCGAAATTTAAGTTAAAAGCCCTCGGATTTTATTAATAATAATAATAACCACTTTATTTCAAACAGTGTTAATTATGCAGAATGGAATTTTCAGCGCTTTTATATATATATTGCAACAATTTAGCTCCTTTTATGAATGTATAAATACTTAAAATTGAAAAATCAAACCACAAAAAACTTATGGTTGGAGAATTTCATCATGAGCTGAAATCAGTTAGAGAACCATTGGAAAACCTGGGAGCACTGGACAGCTGCTTCTTCCTAGTTTCTGACTCATCATCAGTACGCACCCCCAATGCGGGGTTCGAACCCAGGACCTTCTGGTTACAAGGCGAGCTTAGCCACAATAAAGTTTGGCTGGGTCAGGGGAGAATAAATTGCTCTGATTGGTTGGCAGTCGACCCAAGGTTAAACAAAAGGACGAGAGGTCATCCAATAAAATTATTTCTTGACCACAACGTAAACTAAATCCAGATTTGACGAATAAACACACTTCTACCCCTGCAACCAGTGACTTAAAATGTTGGTTTCAATTTTCACCGCTTCCTATCAATCTGCATAAAGTCACAGTTGGATATCACAGATATTTGAATTATCCTGTTCACTACAGCGATTAGATGACAATCAACAGAGTTTACAGGCATATTGACTGATTAAGGTGTAGTGACCGAAAAAACATAATAAGAACGAAATCTTTGATTAAACATTAGCCAGCAACTGGTGTGATGTGTCTAGTCCTTTCTTTGGTGCAGACTGAATTCTGTCAGTCAGGTTTGCAATGTGGCCACCATTCTAGGTAGCTCGGCATCACGGTGCACATTGATTTGATGATATTAGGTGGTTGGAGGTAATCGGCAGGATAGTGAGCTGTCTAGAATGGTGGCCACATTGAAAACCTGACTGACGGAATTCAGTCTGCACCAAAGAAAGGACTAGACAAATCACACTAGTTGCTAGTGTCAAATCAAAAATATCCAATACATTCCTACAGGAGGTGAATCGCGAGCCCGAATAGCTCAGTGGTAACGTCTCTGACTGCAGTATTCACTGGGTGACGCGGGTTCAAATCTCAGAGGGGACATGAGTTCCTTCAAGGTTGCAGAAACGCCTTGCTGACTGGTGAGTGTCAACTAGCACGAAACCTAGGTCAGGCAAGGCTTCCTGTGGCCGATTGCCTCCAACCATCTAATAAGAACGAAATCTTTAGGATTAAACAGTGTATACCATCTTTTATAACGAATACATTATTGTTTCTACTTGTAATGTTTTTTTTAGAAATGAAGTTATTATCCTCTCACTCTTTCTATCCTTGTTATAGGTTGTACAAAGTTATTCTAGATAACTGGAATTACATCATAGATGAGCAGTTGAAAATATGCCTTGAATTTTTCACAGTACTACTTCAACGATTCCTTGAAAGTGATGTAAGTGTGCTATACTTTTGGTGTGGGTGTGTGTGTATATGTATACATTTTTAGTATTCTATATTAATTAGAAATGTAACTGATTAAAAATGCTCATTGAAATTTTTTTCAAAAGAATGGTTACTGAACAAAGAATATTCACATTTTCGATAACCTCTCCTTCGTCATCAGGTTCTACAGTTACATGCATCCATCACAGTGAATGAATGAATTAGTGTTATTAACAACAACATTAATGTTGTTTAAATAACATCAAATCAATAATAATATCAATGGATTACAGTTCGATATCATCAACATAACAATACACTGAATATCAGAAAAATTAGGAAAGATAATAATACAAATTCATGAATTTATGGTTTCCACTAAAGTTCGACCAGGGTAGTAATAATGGCTGGCTGGACTTGCTTCTTCTACACACAAAGCACTGGTTGTTTCAGGCAAATCACGATAGCCTCTGATGTTTGGAGTATGTGGTACCTTGATGTTTTCGGCAATTTATTTGGTAGCCGGTAGATGACAGAAGAATCCTTCAATACTGGCTGGCTTTCTAGCCGGTTTCGACCAACTGGTCTAATATTGCGCTATCGATGTTTCTCACTACACCTTTATTTAACCACACCACGCTGATAGATGTTTCCGAGCGAGCTGGAAAAATCAAGTTCCTATGGCAATGGCCAATATAACTCGCTCCTCCACAAGCTCATTTGAATTGGTAGGTACAACTAGAAGTGTCTAGTCTAGGTACTTCATCTTGCAATTGAGGAATCACCACCGGTCGTGTAAAAAGTCTGTCTTGTAATTTCCCAGCATTAAAAGTTCTTGGTCTATTGCTTCTTTACTTATTAGAATATTCAAACCCAACTTACTCAATCTAGGTGTCAGATTTCGAAATCTTAAACAGTTCATTTTGTTAAGCGTATTTCAAACGATATCAGTGTTATTTAAGTGAATAACTGTGTTGTGGTAATCAAGACTTTTATATAGAACCACCACTAGTTGGAGATCATTAAAGACCAGATAACACTGGATAACTATTTCTCCCTAGTTTGAGACTATTTAACAGTGAGCACCCATGACACTACTAAGGATCGAGACCAAGAACTTCAGGTTATGAAACCAAACTCGCTGACCATTCAGCCACTGTGGGCTGGGATTCATAGACCCATGAATTCCAAGTTTGTCAGTTTGTCCTGTATGGGTACCATCAATCAATACCTGGACATTTTGGACCCCAATGGCCATGAATTCTTCATGCAAATTCAGGAGCCGTCAATTAGCTGAAGATTAATATTAGGGATTATGGGTTTTTGTAAAAATTTGGATTAATTTCAGTGTAGGACAAAGTCAACGAGCCTGGTCTTTTCACCCCAAGGTTCCAAGTCCGAATCCTAGGAGGGTTTTAGATGCGCGTTCCGCTAAACAGTTTCAAACTAGTACGAAACCACTGTTCACTATCCCCTGGTTTTTCAATGGTCTCTAATTCATAATGCTTCATGACAAAGTCTACTTTGAAACCAACAAATTTTCACGAATCTTTTATGCTACTGATATAATTGTTAGTAGTAAACTACATTTGTTTGGAAATTGATTCAGGCATTACACTAGAAATATAATAATCATGATAGTTATAAATCTTCTGCAAAAGGAATAATATTGGGAAACGTATCTTTTGCGTTGACATATTCTATAGTTTGGATCCAAGATTTTTCAACATAAACATCTTCATTAAAGTATTCTTGAGTATTCTTCAAGTTATACTGGCTATTTGACTGATAATAAATGCACCCATACGACGGTTAATATAAGTATTGGGTTAAAAGTTAAGGTATTGATTAAGGTTAGGGTGTTTCATTATTATTATGTTAATTTTTCTCCTAAATAGACGGCCTTCTGATGTAGAATACACAGCAGGTTTTGTAATTTAACGAATGGTATGAGTTCATGCTTATTGTTGCGTTTGCATTCAGAGGTGGCTGGCATTTAACTAAGTCGTGGTTCAGTGAAGAGTCTCTTTTCAGAGGCGAATTCATCCAATTAGCTGTTCAATCACAATTATATGATTATAATTGTTTTTCTATGTGTGTGTACATTAGGTTTGTCAGACAAAAATGAATATTAGTTTTGGGATATTGTTCACGTCATCAAAACATTTCAAAGACTGTGATGAATAATCAAATTGTAACAAGGAGTGTGTGTGTGTGGGGGGGGGGTAAAGATTAGTAAGAGTGTTGCAGTGATGACTTGTCGTTGCATAAAAGTTGAAAGTATGTATTATAGTTACGCAATAAGACGAACAACTTTATGAATGAGTTGTAATCAAGATTCATATAACAACGAAGGAAGACAGGTATACTGGTCATTAGATGCATATCTTGTCTAAAAGGGTTCAAGAACACTAGCCCGAATGATAGCAAATAGGTGATAGCTGCTCTGTAAGGAGTGTGATAATCGAACGCCTTGTCAACACTCGCCATTCCATCTCAACAAATGTCTCCTTCAAAGTAATCTACACAGTTAAAAATAACCAACCATAGGCAATACGCTTTCGTCTAGTTTGCATCGCTGAAGCCTTATCAGTTCATATTCATTTATTGGTTTGTTGGGATTTGATTGATTGGTACAGGATTTCATCATGAGCTGACATCGGTTAGAGAACCATTGAAAAACCTGCCGGGGAGTACTGGACAGCTGTTTCGTCCTCCTTCTCTGGGACTCTCCAGCAGTAAGCATGCACTACAGAGATCGAACCCAGGAACTTCTGGTTACAAGGCGAGTTAGCTCGTAGGCCATTAAGCCACTGGGACCCGATCCAATGGCCAGCCCATGAGTTCCAACTTCTGCCAATTCATGACATAGGGCAACCGCTAGCCAATGTCTTCGGCGAGTATTTGTCCTCACACTCGACCTGCTGTACCCCAAAGGACACGACTTCCTACTAGAATCCCGGGCAACTACTTACCTGAATAAGGCCAGTCGCTAGTAAGCATCTCATTGCGGGTGCAGCCGGTCGGTTGTGAGGATAAATACTCACCGAAGTCATGAATTGGCAGAAATTGGAATTCATGGGCCAGCCATTGGATCGGATCCCAGGGGCTTAAAGGTCTACGAGCTAACTCGCCTTGTAACCGGAAGGTCCTGGGTTTGAACCTAGCTGTGGTGGGTGCGAAATGCTGAAGGGTCCCAAGCTGGTAAGAAACAGCTATCCAGTACTTCCAGCTGGTTTTCCAATGGTTCTCTAACTGATGTCAGCTCATGATGAAATCCCGTAACCAAAATATCAGACAGACAATACACTCAGATGGAGAGTATCATATCTTGAAGATTAAACTGTAGATTTCTGTAAATGACCTCAACCAGTATTTACCACTACATGATATGATATTGATTATATAGTAATAATAATGTTATTGTTCCCTTGAGTTCCAAGTGGGACACAGAGCTTTAGCAGCACATATTCACTTGAATCTATTCACCGCAGTCTTTCTTAGCCCACTCCACGACTTACCATAAGCCTTCATTTCTCCCCCACACGATCTCCTCCATGCCAACCTTAGAGTCACCCCGAACTCGTCAGTTTCCACTCGGGTTCCACTCAAGGGCTTCATGCGTGATTTCATCCAACAATCCCCTCAGATTATGTCTCACTCATCTGCATTTCCCTCTACATATTTCTTAGATAATATGTTCTTGTTTGGTTCGTTGACATGGATCCTTGTTGCATAACATTCCCAGCCGACCATCTGATCTTTAGTATCGAGGCAGAGAAGAGGGACAACTGTTGATGAAAACTTGAAGTAGCCTACTGGAGATGCGTTTAGTGACACGCGCTGCATCAATTCCCTGAAACGTACAAAAGCATTAACCTTATATTACTGTTTGAAAGTTGGTCATTAATTTTCAGCCATTCTTTAAATTAACATTTTTCATTGTTTTTTCTTTCGTTTTCAAGGGTTTAACAACAGACGATGATGAAGCATTTAAACGATTTTTAAACAATTTAGTATTCTCTTTAACTGAACCGCCAACAGCTGAAGCTGAAAATTTTAACAAAGAATTTCTACGACTTATCGATGAAACACGTGAACACTGGAATAGAACTAAAACATGTAAGTGAATGGCTAATAATTTATGCTCTGAAAGATAATTTAGAAATTCGTTAACAATGCGTTTTTTTAATAAAAACATATTAAATGATTCTAGGAAGCACGGTTTCAACCACAGGCGTATTGAGCGGATGAAGATATCAAAGCCAGCCTGAATCGGAAAGGCAAGATTCGCCTTCATCAACCTGAAACCAGTTTGGAAATCTTCTGCTGTCATTCAGCCGGCCAGCATAAACAAAAAGATTCGGAGTTTCAACACAAATGTCAAGTCAGTCAGTTCTTCTACACGGGTGAGAAACTTGCACTGCGTGTCACAAAAGCGATTTTCAACAGCCAGTTACAGACTTGTATCAACAGCTGCCTGCCTTCGCTGGCATCCATAATGAAGATCAAATGACTGGCTGGTCAACCAGAAAGAATTACCAACAAGAAACTCTGGCTGGGAACAAACCAACAGGCGAGAGCCGATCGCTCAACGAATATGTAGGAGAAAATGTAGATGGATTGGGTATACGCTGAGGAGAATGTCGAATGACATCGCGCTCAGTGCAGGCCAACGCACTACTAGAATCCGAATGGGAAGCGAAGAGTGGGTCGTCAGTGCGAGGGTGAAATGGGGGAGATCGTGTGTTGGGGAGGAGGAGATGAGAGATTATGGGCAATCGTGGATGCAGGTGAAGAGGACAGCAGAGAACAGAACAAAGTGGAGATGTGTTGTTGAATCCCTATGTTCCACTTGGAACCCAAGGGATTATGATAAATGATTCGATGAACCTAAACTATGAAATATTTGATGGCATTACAATTCAGTGACAGTGCAGAATTAATTAATTAAATAACCAAGTTTTCATGAGCTAGTTTGCAGGGATATGAGTGATTTCAAGTGAAGCCAAGAACTTACATCAGTTAAGCAGTTACTGAAAATCAAGACAAAGATACTGAAGAGCTGTTTTACTCTAGTTTGGGACTCTTCAGCCGTACTCACCCTTGACCACGCTGATAGGGATCGTGACAAGAACTTGGGAATGCAATCCAGTGGCCCATCACTTTGCAGGGATTGGATTGATCTCAGGTTAGATGACAAGCTGACACTAGTTAGAGAAAGTGTGAAAATCAAGGATTACTGGGCAGCTGTTTTACAACTTATAAGTCATCATAACTCAACTACAAGGGCAGGATTCATATAGAATAGAAGTGATATAATCGCCGCCTTCAGCCGAAATATGAACTCGTTCCATTCAGTCGCCTTTTATATTCATAAAAAGCATTAATAACAATGTCTTTGTTGATATCAAACACCAAAATATCGAAGAGAATATTCTTTGTCCAGTGACCATTATTTTTTGAATATCTAAAATAAGCTCAATAATTCTTAGTCTGGAATATGGTCAACGGTGTATATGCACATATTAAGCTAAATGTTTAGTTAATACAATGATGACCAGCAAGGGAAGCAAGGATTCACATTTCGTTCTATTCTGTACTTGTCAACTGGATGTACCTGCATTCCTACTGATTGATGGTATTCCCAGTAGGACTCGATATAGGGCATAAATACAAAAAAGTAACTAACTGTCTTTCAAGCAAAGTCAGAAACATGCTGAACACGTAAACGTAAGTTGTGCAAGCGCTTACATAAAGACAACCAACAATCATATGACAGTATCAGTTAGCAAGCTAGAAGTCATATTTGATTAATGTTTATCCACTACAGAATAAGAAGTACATGTCTAATTTCAACTGCCCATATAAATAAATCTTCAGAACCTCAACCGCATCTTGAAGTAGGTCATTTTCAATGCAACCAACAGAATTTTCTATCTATCTACTGAATTCCTTTTCGCTCTGTAGACTCAACAAACTTCAGTAGATGAATTTCACTTAATTTTCAATAGTTGGTTTGTAAGATTAGATTTACGAGTTGAAGATTAGATTTGTTTTTACGAGTTGACGACGGATTGATATAAGTTAGAGAATCTTTGAAAACCGGCACTGGAGTACTGGACAACTGTTTCATCCTAGTGTGGGATTCATCGGCAGTACCAAGCCACTGGCAGAAATCGAACATAGAACCTTCTGGTTACAAGGCAAGCTCGTATACCATTCAAAAACTGGGACCCAATTCGCCCTAAATCACGAATTGTTAGAAGTTAGAATTCATGGGTTGGTCATTGAGTCGGTTCCCAGTGGCTGAATGGTATACAAGCTTGCCTTGTAACCGGAAGGTCCTGGGTTCGAACCCCTGTTGAGGATAAGTATTACCGATGAATCCCGAACTAGGATGAAACAGCTGTCCAGTACTCCAGTGCTGGTTTTCAATGTTTTTCTAACTGATATCAATCCATGATCAACTCGTAAAAACAATTTCATTTGAACACTCCTTTTGAAAAAACATTCCAGAGTATTAATTAGTTGAAGTCAGATTGTTAAATCATACAATGAATATTTGTAAAGTCAAAAAAGTTTATCCTTGTACATGTTTGCTTACTTGATTTATAATCCAAGTCCATTCTGATTAGGAATGCCTAACAGTGACAGTTATGTTCATACTTTGTACTTTAAGACAATAGAGGTTTCGAACTCCTGCTGCTGTCATTGTTGACAATAATATTTCTGTTTACGCTTTTTTGGGTTATTCCGAATTTTGTCAAAAGAATGGTTACTGAACAAAGAATATTCACATTTTCGATAACCTCTCCTTCTTCATCAGGTTCTACAGTTATATGCATCCATCACAGTGAATGAATGAATTAGTGTTATTAACAAAAACATTAATGTTGTTTCAGTGACATCGAATCAATAATAATAATATCAATGGATTAAAGTTCGGTGGCATCAACATAACACTACACACTGAATATTAGAAAAATTAGGAAAGATAATAATACAAATTCACGAGTTTATAATCTCCACTGAAGGTCAGGGCAGTAGAAGTGACTGGACACACACAAAGCACTGATTTTTTCACGCGAATCACGATAGCCTGTGATGCTTGGAGCATGAGGTAACTGGATGCTTCTGGAAATTTATTTGGTACCCGATAGATTATGGAAAAGGACGCTTCAATGCTGGATTTGTGGCGGTTTTGGACCAGGTGTCGCAACACCGCGCTACTGATGCTTCTCACTACACCTTTATTTAGCCCCACCACACTGGTAGATGTTCCCGAGCGAGCACGAAAAATCAAGTTCCCAGAGCAACGGCCAATATAACTCTCACCTCCACAAGCTCATTTGAATTGGTAGATACAAGAAGAGGTAGCTAGTCTAAGTACTTCATCTTGCTGTTGAAGGGTCACCACCGGTCGTTTAGGAAATAAGACTTGTAATTTGCCAGCATTAAACGTTCTTCCGAATTTCTGAATGAATTCTGAATAAAGTACTCTGAGTTGTAATGTTTCGTATTGAAAGATCTGTTCCTTTGAATGGGCACACCTTCCAGTTACTCGAAGTCTATATTCTATACAATACTCAAGGTTCCCATGTCAGTAGTTCTTTAAATATCTGAATAATTATAAAAAAAAGAATTAAAAAGTTTTCAAATAATTTTATTGTTAATAAACCTATTCAACTTACTAACATGAAAAGTGTATAACTCAAATAAAGTCAAATAGCTTTCTATCAGGAGTTAGCAAATGGTCTTCGTCTAATGGTCTTAAACTAAATCCTTCCAAATGTCAAACTGTTAATTTCAGTTTCCGATGTAAAAGAAAGTTAAATGATGAAGCTGTTGGTTCTTATGACCGTTGCAAAATTGATGATACTGATATAGAAACCAAGTCTGAAGTTAAGTATCTTGGATTAATTCTTTCTACTGACCTATCCTGGTCTTCCCATGTCTTAGCGATTTCTAAAAAATATTTCGTCTGACTTTTTACATTAAGAAGTTAAGGCACTCAGGCATAACTCAACCACCTCCTCCTCTTACAGTTTGTCAACTCGTGCATCTTACCTATTCTTCTTTACTGTTCACCCTTATTCTTTCCTGGATTGCTTAAAAAAGACTTTGTCATACTTCGTAGAACTCTGAAGACTGTCAGTAGGGCGAGTGGTATCCCATTAGGCCACATCGTTGACATTGTCATTGATAGGCACTTGATGTCATGCAACAAATTTGCTAAAGGAATTTTGTCAGACTGTGAGCACCCACTCTACCCGCAGCTCCAACCTTGTGTCTCCTCAGGTAAAACAAGAAGTCTTTTCAGAAGACTTTATACACGTACGTCTAAGTACAAAAATTCCACTATACCATATTTGGCACGTACTTTATGTGATGAAAATAGTGTTAGGCATGAACTAACTAACCTTCTTTGCACTACTAAATAAACCTTTTTCCTCCATCCTTACAACATCAACCTTTATTGTTATTGTACTTCTTATATTTATAATCCTCTCAATTTTTTGTTTTTATTTCTTTATTTTTTCATAAGTGTGAACATCATTTAAGCTGTGTTATAACTGTTAATTTTGTATTTCCCCTCACCATACTATATCAACAGAACATTAGATTCAATAATCTATAACATGCTAAAATTTCCAAACTGAATCGACAGTACTGTTTGAAGCGAACTCACTGTTATTATAATTATTATTATATTTATTATTCTCATTTTGTACTTCGAATATTTTTGACTTTATACCGTAAATGTGGACAAATTCCTTTGGTTAATTTTGTTTTAATTTTTAATTTTATTTATATTTTGAGTAAATCAGATGCAATATTGTGACAAATGCTGAGAATTCCATTCTGTATTATAAGTACTGTTTTTGGAATAAAGTAGATTATTATTATCATTATTATAAATATTTATAGACCTTTATGTTTTTCAAATTTTATTTTTTTTCTTTAATAGTTGGAACACGAATGCCGGGTGGTATTCATCTACGTAGGACAGAAATTGCTGTATTTCAGAGTTTACTTGATTGGAATAAAGTGAGTCATAATTTGTCTTATCAGTATTATTGATTATTAAATTATATGTATATATATTCAGTGAGTCGATGATTCAGTAGTAAAGTACTCGGCAACCACTCGCATGATTTGAGGTCGATTCCCCGCCGATACACTTGTTAACCTCGTCTAGTTTACTGGGCGTTAGTAATCCTGGAAAAGAGAAGAGGTTGGTTGTAAGACTAGCCGCCCTATCACGTAAAACCAACAACACCATCAACAGGAGAAGTCTAAAAGTGGTCACCTCATTCATTTATCCCGCCCAGACAACATCTTCTCAACTACAGGTGGCACTGATTATAATTATTATTATTGTTCCCTTGGGTTCCTAGTGGAATATAGGGCTTCAACTGCACGCCTCCACTTGCTTCTGTCTTGTGCTGTACTTTTCACTTGCATCCATGTTATTCCATACTGTTTCAGTTCCTCATCACACGATCTCCTCCATGTCACCCTTGGACGTCCCACTCGCCGCTCTCCTTTCGGGTTCCACTCGAGCGTTAGCCTGACTCGCGATTTCACCCAGCGGCCTCCTCAGCTAGTGTCCAATCCATCTCCCCTTCCTCCTGCATATTTGTTGGGCGATTGGTCCCTGTTTTGTTTGTTCCCATAGTTTCTTGTTGGTGATTCTTTCCGGCTGGCCATCTGATCTTGAGTATAGAACGAAGACAGTTGTTGATAAAGGTCTGCAACCTAATGGAAATGTTCTTTGTGACCCGCCAAGTTTCTGATCCGTATAGAAGAACTGACTGACTTGACATTTGTATTGAAAATCCGAATTTTGTTGTTGATGCTGAGGAGTGACGAAGATTTCCAGATTGGTTTCAGGTTGATGAATGTGTTTCTCGCCTTCTCGATTCTCGATTTGACATCGTCGTCCGTTCCTCCTGTAGTTGAGACAATTCTCCCTAGATAAGTAAATGAAGTAACCTCCTTCAAATCCCTCCCGTTGATGGTGATTGGCGGTGGATGTTGCTGTTGTTGTTGTTGTTGTTGGTTGGTTATTTTGATAACCTCCGTCTTGTCTATGTTCACCTGGAGTCCTGTCTTCACCGGCTGTTTCTTCGACCAGTTTGTCGGTTTTCGCTTGTAAGTCTTCGATTTTGTGTGACATCAAACATAAATCATCCACGCGCGAAATCCAGGTCTTCTAGATTCTTCACGTCGGTCCAGGATATCCCTGTCTTCTCGTTTCCCACTGTCTGACGCATAATCCAGTCCACCACAATTAGGAATATCATTGGTGATAATAAGCAGCCTTGTCTGACTCCTGTGTTTACTCCAAATGCCTCGCTGAGTTTTCCGTTGTGGATCACTTGACATGTGCCGTTGTCGTACAGTTGTTGAATAAGGTTGATGAATATTTGGGGTACGCCGTAGTACTCGAGTAGTTTCCAAATTACTTCTCGGTCAACGATGTCGAAGGCCTTCTCAAAGTCTATGAAGTTGAGGTAGAGATTTGATTGCCATTCCATGCTTTGTTCCATGATAATGCGTAGAGTTGCGATTTGGTCAGCACATGATTTGCCTCTCCTGAATCCAGCTTGTTCTGGTCGGAGTTCTGTATCCAGTGCGTCCTTTATTCTCTCCAGGATGATGCGACTCAGGATTTTACTTGGCGTCGACAGGAGCATGATTCCTTGCCAGTTCTTGCAGAGTCCTAGGTCGCCCTTCTTTGGTAGTTTCACGAGGTAACCTTTCCTCCAGTCAGTAATCACCTTTACGTCTTTCCAGATCTTTTGCAATAATGGAGTCAGCATATCTGCTGTCGTCTCTGGGTCCGCTTTCAGTGTTTCAGGGGGTATTCCATCTGGTCCAGCTGCTTTTCCAGCTTTCAGAAGCTTGATTGCATTCAGGACTTCAGTTTCCGTTGGAGGATTGGTGTCAACTTGCAGTTGTGCACGTGCTGTTGTTGGTATTTCTGGACGGGTTGCAGGTGGTGGTCGGTTCAAGAGTCCTTTGAGGTGGTCCGCCCATTGTTTAATCTGTCTTTCTTCTTTGGTAATTGGGTTCCCTTGGCTGTCTTTTATAGGTTTCACTTGTGTCGATCTCTTTCCGGAAAGAGACTTGGTTATCTGATATAGTGTCCTCAGGTCCCTTTTGCCTGCTGCCTTTTCAGCTTCAGTAGCCAGGTTGTCGTAGAATTGTCTTTTGTCCCTCCTGGCACTCTTCTTCACTTCTTTGTCCAGTGCTGTGTAATTTGAGTTCAGCGTCTCTTTCTCTTGTCTGTCTTTGCATTGAATCATTTTCTCTTTCACCATTCTCCTCTCCTCTATTAGCTTCCAAGTGTCCGTTGACAGCCATTCCTTGTCTTGTTTCTTCTTTCTTCCTAAAACCGTTGAGCACGTTTCGTTGAAAATTACCTTTAGAGAGTTCCAGTGGTCTTCCACGGATGATTCCTCAGTGATGTCACGTGGTGTTTCCTGCTTTGCTCTGACAGTTGCAGTGAAAATGTCCTGTGTGATTGTGCCCTTCAGTTTTTGAGTGTTGAACTTGCATTGTGGCCTATCCCTAGGTATCCTCGAGGCTTTTAGCTTCACCTTGAAAGTCCCTTGTACTAGATAGTGGTCTGAACCCACATCTGCTCCTCTCCTCGATCTTGTGTACAGTAGGCTCCGTCTCCACTTCCTTGAGATTGAAATGAAGTCCATCTGGTTTTTGGTGTGTCCATCTGGTGAAATCCATGTTGCCTTGTGTATATCCCTGTGTTTGAACACACTGCCACCAATCACCAAATCATTGAAGGCGCAGAAGTCTGAGAAGAGTTCACCATTTTCGTTCATTTCACCGAGGGCCTCACGACCCATGGTGAGTTCTCTTCCTGTATTGTCTCCTCCCAGTTTCGCATTATGTCACCCATCAGGATTTTGATATTGCTCTTTGCGACGTTGTCCACTGCTGTTTGTAGTTGACTGTAGAAATCCTCCTTCTTCTCTTTTTCTGAGACGTTTGTAGGCGCGTAGCATTGAATGATTGTAACCATTTTTCCTTATGAGTTGAACCTGGCTGTCATTATCCTGGAGGAGATTGGTTCCCACTGCATGAGAGCTTTAGCCGCTGTTGGTGACATCATGATGGCTACTCCCTCGGTGTGCTCGTGACCATCCTCTGGGTGACCGGAGTAGATTATTGTCTCTCCAGTTGGTAGTTGGCACCTTCCGCATTCGTTCCATCTGCTCTCGCAGATTCCCAGCACTTCTATTTTATATCTCCTCATTTCTGCGGCTAACTGAGCAGCCTTTCCAGTTTCGTACATTGTATGAATATTCCACGTCCCTATCCTTATTTTTGCTTTCGTCGAAAGGAGGCACATCGGCTGACTGGCTTCCCGAAGGCTTTCACCAGCCTGCGTCATTTCACTTGCCCGATTCCAGCGAAAAATAAGGCCATTGTTTGTATTTTTAGAATTTTGAATATATTTGTGCGCTGAAGTTTTCGTAGCAATTTGGTTAAGTTTTGGTGGTGGAGTTACTAGCACCACGTCCCAACCCTCCCGCTTTATCCGGGCTTGGGACCGGCTAGAATACTAGTGACCTAGTAATCTAGGCGAGGTTGGTGGCACTGATAAGGTTGGAAAGGTAAAACGAACCTTCATAAATGTGAAATCAATGTAGAAATTGGCTGCACTCAGTGTAAGGAACAAAATTCAGATCTTCAACACTCATTTCAAGTTAGTCAGTGCTTTTATTATGATTCACAGACTTGACACAAGCGCGACACTGGAATCATTCCCAAGAGGCTATTGCGAAATTCCATTGAAGGCTATGTCCTTCAACGCCTCGATATTGAAGATTAGACAGGATAAAGGATAAACAACGGGGGACTCTGTTAACAAATCAACCAAGAACCTACCATCTAGCAAGATGGACTGGACACAAGCTGAGTAGACCCATTGTGCGAAACCACGTGCCAGGCTCTTGAATGGAATCTGAATAGGAAATAACGAGTTGAGCGTCTCAGGTTGACATGGAGTAGATCGCATGAGAAGGAGACAACAGCTTATGGTCAATCGCGCAGTCGGATAGTGAGAATTGCAGAAAGTAGAGTGAAGTGGCGCTGTGATACTGGAGCCTTATGTTCTATTTAGTGTACTCAAATGATGAATAATGCTCATATATACGATGTACTTTAAGAAACTGAATTTCAGTTACAGGAAAATTATATAATTCAAACGCATATTCTTAGACACGGTAAATTTTCAGTAGTTAATGGAATTATCTGGGATAAAATTACATTGGTAGGCTAATATTAGTCGAATGGACAATGACTGAAAGTGAACTGAAATCTGAGGTCTTGGAAAGACTGAAATACCTTGTTCAGTAATCTAACAGCTGAGTTAAGTATCTCTCACTCCCGTGACACCTGGACATGGCTTGATGATTACGAAAAATAAGTAACTGACATCGGTTAGAGGACCACTGGAGAAGCTGAGAGTGTTGTACAGCTGTTTCGCCCTAGTTTAGGACTCTTCACAGTACGCACCCACAACAGGGGATTCGAATTCAGGACCTTCTGCTTACAAGGCGAGCTTGCAGACCATTAAGTCACTGGGACCCGATCCAATGGCAGTGCATGAATTCTAACTTCTGTCAATTCATGATATGGCACATTTACTAGCGAATGTCATCTGTGGTGAATATTTGTCCTCACACCTGACCCAAACTGTGCATCTCTGAAGGAAGTTTTTTTCAGCTGTACAGTAGAACCCAAAGCTCGATTTCCTTAGTTCAGACCACAATGAGTCAGCTTTGGTTTACGTGTATCTATTCTTCTAATTACAAATATACCAGGAATTTATTATTATTGGTCCCTGGGGTTCAGAGTGGAATATAGGGCTTCAACAATACACCTCCACTTTGTCCTTTTCTCTGCTATCCTCTTCATCTGAGTCCACCACTGACCATAATCTCTCATCTCCTCCTCGCCAGACGATCTCCTCCGTGTCATCCTCACACCAACGACCCACTCATCGCTTCCCATTGGGGTTCCACTCGATCAATGGCCTGCATTGCGTGCGATGTCATTCGACGGCCTCCTCATTGTATGCCAAATCCATCTTCATTTCCTCCTACATATTTGCTGAGCAATCAGCTCTTGGTTAGTTTGTTCAAAGTCAGAGTTTATTGTTGGTAATTCTTCCTGGCCGGCCGGCCGACCTTCAATATCGAGCCAGCCAGCGAAGAGGGCAGCTGTTGATAAAAGTCTGTAACTTGTTAGAAATCCTTCTTGTGATGCTCAGTGCAAGTTTCTAACCCGTATAGAAGAACTGACTGACTGACTTGACATTTGTGTTGAATAGAATCCGAATCTTGTTGTCTATTCTGAGTGCAGATTTCTAAACTGATTCAGGTTGATGAAGGCGAGTCTTGCCTTTCCGACTCTCGCAATGACATTTTCATCCGTTCCGCCTGTGGTGGAAACGACACTTCATTGACCAATGGATTGGGTCCCAGTAGCTGAATGGTCTACGCTCCCGCTAGCCTTGTAACCAGAAGGTCCTGGGTTCGAACCAAGTTGGGGTGGGCGCGTACTGTTGAAGAGTCCCAAACTAGGACGAAACAGCTGCGAAATACTCCCCGCTGGTTTTCCAGTGGTTCTCTAACTGATGTCAGCTCATGATGAAATCCTTCAACCAGTCAAACAAAAATCCCTACAAAACAATACTTGAAAACTTCCTAGATAATTGAAGGATGCTACCTCTTTCAAATCTCCCCCGTTGATGGTTGTTGTTGCTGTTAGACAAAACACTGAACAAATTATAAAATAATCCGATTACAGCTAGTGTGCTATCTAATGTATGCAAACAAATCCAATTGATTTCGCGATAGGTTTTGTAAAAATAAGTTAGTATGCGAATCAACTGATTCGGTTCTCTGATCCCGGACAAGCAGCTGATGATCTCAGCTCCAGACGAGCGAAATGGTCGTTCGATGTTTGGATCACTTTGATCAGACTGGCTAGCAAGCACTACTGACTGATACGACTGGTATCCAATTACCCATATAAATCAATCAGCCAGGACTAAGAACCACTGGACAGGTGTTTTACTTTCATATAAGATTCTTCAACTGTATACACTTATAATTCTCTAAGTGATATACGTTCATGAAGAAATCCACACTGTTTGAAATCACATACCAGTAAAATGAACATTTCAGTTACATCGGAAATTTAGAGCGTAAGATTCACTCGTTATGCAAATTAAACTAGAATATCTAACTTTAGTTATTTTGCATTAATTAGTGAATGCAGAGTATTTTAACCCCTATACACATTTTAAAAAAAACCCTTAAAAGTCATAAAATTTCCTACATAAAAGGTCAAATAACTAATTATATAGCTAGGCTTACTAATTCAGATCAATGTCCAATCCCAGGATTGTTTAAAAGTGTATCACAATATTAAAAAAACAAACAGTATACGCAAAAGAAATATTTTGTTATGACTGGAAACTGACAGAAATATCATTATACGTTGCGTTACGTCTCATTAGAAACAATTGAATATTGAATATTTTCCGGTAAATTTAAATGTTAGTATGATGACTAATTATGTGAAAAGATTTTAGGCATACAAATATTTCAGAGATAGATTTTAGAAAGAAAGAAAGTATAACAATGTTTAGAGTTCCATTATATCTACTCCACCACTAAAATTCACTGGAATGTAGACTAGTATTGTCTCACAAATGAAGGTTTGTCAACAAAATAATGAAATTAGCATAAATTATAATATTTAAAAGAATTCTAACAGTTAGAGCTGAGAGGGTAAAATATTTTTATTTTTTGATTGTAGGATTTCATCATGAGCTGACATCAGTTAGAGAACCACTGGAAAACCTAGGAGTACTGGGCAGCTGTTTCGTCCTAGTTTGGGATTCTTCATCAGTACGAACCCACCCCAACTTGGTTCGAACCCAGGAACTTTTGGTTACAAAGCGAGCTAGCTCGCAGACCAATGAGCCACTGGGATCCGGTGGGTGCGTACTGTGAAGAGTCCCAAACTAGGACGAAACAGCTGTCCAGTACTCCCAGGTTTTCCAGTGGTTCTCTAACTGATGTCAGCTCATGATGAAATCCTTCATGCAATCAAGTTTTTATTTTGACTTTATCCATCCCTATTATTGTTATTATTACTATTCCCTTGGGTTCCGAGTGGAACATAGAGCTTCAAAAGAACATCTCCATTCCATCCTGTTATCTGCATTCCTCTCCAGGCGGCCCAACGATTACTCATAAACTTTCATCTCCCCACCCTCAGACCAACCCCAGTTCTTTGTTTCCCATTCATCCATCTTTCACTCGAGGGTCTGCCTGACACACGATGTCACCCAACAGTCTCCTCAACTTGTATCCGATCCATCGGCATTTTCTTCGGAATACTCTTTCAGCAATGGGTTATAGACTGTTTCATTCCCAAAGTTGCTTGTTAATAATTCTTTCTGACCAGCCATCTATTCTTCACTATGGAGCCAGAGAAAGCAACTGTTGATAAACGTCTGAAGTAGCCTGTTGGAAATGCTGTCCGTGACACTCACGCCAAGTTTCTCAGGCATAAAGAAGAAATGACTGAAGTAACATTGGTGTTGAAATGTTGAATTTTACTCTTTGTTCTGAATGCCGTTCTTCTTTCTTAAACTACTAATGCCTTCGAAGTTAATTGGTGGATGGTGACTAGCAGTGGAATCCAGGATGCGCATTTCTTCCTATTTTGGACTCGTCATCTGGATGTGCCTGCATTTCCCAGTAAGTGATGATGTTCCCACCGAGGCTCGAACCCAGTGCCCATAGTTTCAAACGCCAAAGCGTTATCCACTATATGACATATTACATGCCCAGACATCGTCGAAGCATCTGCACAAGAAGCCGACATGTCAACCTGAGACCGAGCACTTCGGTTCAGTCAATCGACGGGAAAATCTAAAATTCAATTAAATAATTAATATGACCCTTTGCACAAGAGGTAGCTGTCTTCGCCCAAATGGCCTAGTGGATAACGCTTTGGCATTTGAAACTATTGGCACTCGGTTCGAGCCTCGGTGGGAACAGCATCACTCACTGGGAAATGCAGGTACATCCAGCCCACGAGTCCCAATTAGGACGAAATGCGCGCTATCCTGGATTATTCCACTGCTAGTCACCATCCACAAATTAAATTCTAATTAAATGCCCAGACATCGTTAAAGCATCTGCACAAGAAGCCGATGTGTCAACCTGAGACCGAGCACTCCGATCCGATCAATCGATGGGAAAATCTAAAATTGAATTTAAAAAATACTAATGCTTTCATTTTCATTTTATTTTATTTTTTTACTTACAGGCACATATGAGAACTATCAAGCAATATGAACAAGAAAATATTATCCCTGTTGATTTAACACAGAAACTGAATGATCTTCAAGAGCAAAGTTTTCATATGATGGAGACAGTTTCACTTGTCAAGTAAGCATAATAATAATATTGTACACAACTATTTGATAGGATTTGCATGATTTATTCAATGAGATAGCTCTCCCCCTCTCTCTCTCTATCGATTCAATTAAGTCGATGATGATCTCAACTGTATCATGCCAAAAACAAACTAGTCTCTCAGTTAGGATCCTTATTAGGCTCTGTGTGCTCTAATACGCGCCAAAATGGGCAAAAGATAAGTAGGAAGTTAGGTAAAAGGGGAAAAGGCTAATGATCGCGCTAAACCAGATCACGAATCGGCAGAAGTTTCAATTCATTGCCCATTGAATTGGGTCCCAGTAGCTGAATGGTCTACAAGCTTGACTTGTAACCGGAAGATACTGAGTTCGAACCCTAGAGGTGGATGGGTACTGTTTATGAAACAGCTATACAATACTTCCTGCTAATTTTCAATAGTTGTCGAATCGATATCAATTCGTGGCTGAACTTGAAACAAAGAGGAGAAGTTTGATAGATATATCATCCTTCATGTTGACTCAGACCAACTAGGGAGTTGGTTGATGGTATGTTAATTTACTTCTCAAAACATTTCCTTAACTTCAGTTATCTGGATAAGATTAACTGGACTCCTAAGAGAAATACTGACTAATTATGCCATAATAAATGTGAGGGTCATGTGTACTACTGTCAGATTACTTCCTACAGAATGCAGTGAGATTCGGCGGTTAAGTGATCTGTAAACAGACCACAAAATTCGCTATTAAGCGTACATATATAAATGTATATCTTCGAGAATTAGTTTGTATGGATTCTATTTGTTTTAGCTTGGACCACAGATTGATTGAAAATCACCAATGAAGTACTGGATAGCTGTCTAATCCTAGTGTGTGACTCATCATCAGTACGAACCCACCTCCAGAGGTCTAACTCAGGACCTTCCAGTTACAAGGCAAGCTAGCTCACAGACCACTCAACAACTGGGACCCGACTCAATGGCCTGTCCATGGATTCTAACTCCTACCAATTCGTCATCTGTTTTAGCACTGAAATGAATGAGAACCATAGTCACTTTGTTATGTCTGCGCCTGCTTCCGATTCATTGAGCCACGCAAATATCAAAAGATAAAGGCTGGCCTGTGACTGTAAGATGCTGTATTCGTACTGTATATTGTAATAACAAATTATTACGAAAACAGCACATGGTATTTATACATTTTTACAACCATAAAGACGGCCAACAGCGTTCGAAATAACTGATCGCATAATCAATCATAATATGCGCTAGAAATGATGATATACTATTTTGCGCGGGATCCTATCAACCAATCAATGTCATCGGTGGGAACTCCATCCTCACTCCAGACTGAATGGACTACACTAGTCACGCTTGTGACTGGACACAGAAGGAAGTTGCCTGGAGAAGTCGTGACCATCGGAGTCCATACAGTCTGGAGTGAGGATGGAGTTCCCACCAATGACATTGGTTGGTTGATAGGATCCCACACAAACTAGCTTATCATCATTTCTCGCGCATATTGTGACTGATTATGCGATCAATTATTTCGAACGCTGTTAGCCGTCTTTATGGTTGTAAAAATGTATAAATACCATGTGCTGTTTTCGCAATAATTTGTTATTACAATATACAGTACGAATACAGCATCTTACAGTCACAGGCCAGCCTTTATCTTTTGATATTTGCGTGGCTCAATGAATCGGAAGCAGGCGCAGACATAACAACGTGACTACGGTTCTCATTCATTTCAGTGCTAAAACAGATGACGAATTGGTAGAAGTTAGAATTCATGGGCAGGCCATTGAGTCGGGTCCCAGTTGTTGAATGGTCTGTGAGCTAGCTTGCCTTGTAACTGGAAGGTCCTGGTTTAGACCCCTGGAGGTGGATGAATACTGATGATGAGTCCCACACTAGGATGAGACAGCTATCCAGTACTCCAGTGGTGGTTTTCAATGATTCTCTAACTGATATCAATCCGTGGCCTTTAATATTATTATTCCCTTTGGTTCCGAGTGGAACGTAGGGCTTCAGTCATATTTAGCTGACTTTACAATTGCCTGCACATAGGAGTATCATCTTCCTTTTATTCACAAAAGTAGTTAAATCTTAACTAGTTCACATTTTATTTCACACTAAGCAATATTTGTATCCCCATGTAATTCAGTAGTATCTTATTTATTGTAAGCGTATATTTCTTTGCCTTTCCTTTCCATTTTAATTATAGTGATTTAGCCTTAAAGGATAAAAAAAAGTTGGATAGTTTACTGAATCAATTAAGAATATGGAATAAACAAACTAAAGATAAAAATCAATTCAATCTTTATCCATTATCTTCAAGTTCTGATGATGAATGGTTGTCTAGTTCCGGTTCAGAGTATTTAAATTCTGAAAGTACCTATGAATCTGTAGATGAAATTGAAACATCCTATATACTACAACAATCAAAGTATGCAGCAACAAAACCACATTTTACAACTAGTTTACGTTTTCCGCAAAAAACATTCATCCTCCCGTCAATATTCACATATGATGAAGATTTAGCGTCAAGTTGTACAACTAGCGAAGAGATACAAAGTATTGGTGGGACGACTACGCCTACCACTGTTAGCAGTAGTTCTTGTACAACAGACGATGAAATTGAAGACTATCAAAAATATCATCATACAAAACAAGATTTTTATCATACACAACCACCTGAGGATATTTTAGATGACGGTAAAAATTATGTAACTACTTTAAATAAACAAATTCTATTGACTCTTGAACCACCTGTTGGCGGTAAAGATAAACCAATGATATATAAAAGTAGAAAATATATTGACACTAAAGACGGTGGAGGTTATTCAGTTGTCTATATTGAAGTTGCACCGACTGAAGAGACTACAATACTCGATCAAACAGATGAAGATCTTCCCTTATCGAAAATATCAAAATCAATACAAGTAGATGATCTATCCAAGAGAACAAGATTCACACGTAGAACATGGATAGAAGAACAACATGTTGAAGAGGCGAAAAGTTTAAAGAAAATTGAAGAATCTGCAAGAATTATACATACAAAACCTGGTAAAATTGAAACGAAAGATGACAGTGTACAAGTATCGCCTATAATTCACAATATTGAATGCAGTACAGAAGACTATCTCCTGTCAAGTTATGCATTATCAATAACAACGAGACAACAAAATATCGAAAAAGATAGTAAGGCAATACAAACAGCAGAACACTCTGACGATTTCATCTATGCAGTTCAACAGTTTGCCCATGTTAAAGAAATAACTGAGGAAGAATTTAACCGGATTATTCAGCAGGAGGCAATAAAGCTGAAAAGTAAAAATAAAGAAAATCAATCATCACAAACACATGATATCACATACAAAGAAATGAAATATGAGCAGATAGTTAAAGAAACAAGCGATGAAGCGATCAAGTTAAAGGGTGATTTTGGGTCTCAATATAAGATAACCCCTAAATTAACCGATAGACATGAATATTATGTAAAGCCAACTAACGCGAAATCAACCATGACAGAAATAGATAAAATGGATGATAAGTTACATGCGCAAAAACAGCCACCGGTAAGAGAATACGAAAAACATAAGCAAGAAAAAGCAGCTGTAATAGAAGACATCGGTATGTATATAGTAAAACAACAACATGAAACACCAGAAATCCATAAACAAGACAAGATAAAATCTAAAATAAATTACGTCGAAGAAATAGCCATGTATCAATCGGATATGTATAAGCAAGACAGAGAAAAACAAATAGAAATAAAGACAACCCAAGAAAAAGGTATGCAGCAGGGAATACGTGTTGCCACCCGTGTCATGAACTCCAGCTACCAAGTGAAGCAGACCACCAGCCACACCTTGACCGAAGCTGTCGGAGTAGCAGAGCAAGCCGTCCAAGTGACGCAACCCGAACGACCTGTCGTCGTCGGCCTTGAGCAGAAGGAGGTGAAGACTGTGAAGCCTGAACACATGATGTCAGTCAGCGCCTCATACGCAGAATCACCCGTCAAACAGCCAACACCACGTCAAACGACTGAGATCGCCACACAGACGACCAGTGTCACTGCACACGTCGTCGAGTCCAGTGAACACGTGATTGTTCAGAAGCCCAGCGTCCACGTCAAAGCCCCTCTCGTCACCGAGACCGTGGCATCAGAATCACCCAAACCTCAGGTTGTTCAGCCAGCACCACTAGTCGAAGCCACACATTTCGTCAAACGCACCACTGTCGACAAGCAAATCGACACAGTGCCGAAAGCCTCATCCGATGTCGGTGGACAGACCGACCTACACAAATCTCTGCTCGACAGTGAATGTCACTTGTCGTTGAAACGCACCGACGCCACGTTGCAGGCGAAACCTGCCCGATTGTGTATGGTGGACTCTCAGAGTGAGTTGCATGCACCAGTGAAAGTCGAGCCGCCAGTTGTTCCAGTTCAACAACCAGTGAAACGCACTCAAACATTGGAAGCCAGTATGCAGACGATGACGGAAGTGGCGTGTGTTGTGGACAGCGCGACCGGTGTGTCAATGAAGACGCCGGAAAGTATGCTGGATTCAGTCGCATCGTTTGTGAAGAGACCCAGTGTGAATGCTGAAGTGCAAGTGGACAGAGTGAGCACACCTGTCGTCAGTCTGACCACGCACAAGTTAGAATCGAGACCGGCAGAGCCGAGTCTGTGTACCAGTTGTGGACATCTGTATGTGAAGACCGAACAGACGGCTTGTCAGACCGTTCAAGCTCCGGCCGCGCCGGCTCCTGTTCCCATCAAGACATCGAGTGTCGCCCTTCAGACCACCAAGTTCTCCAGTCTCTGTCAGACGACCAGTCAACTCATGACACAAGTCACCCCACCACCATACGTCGAGTCAGCACTATCGGCCGCCACCAAGGTCGACAAGGCAGTCACACGCGATGTGGGCATGCAGTTCGGAATGCGTGTTGCCACCCGTGTCATGAACTCCAGCTACCAAGTGAAGCAGACCACCAGCCACACCTTGACCGAAGCTGTCGGAGTAGCAGAGCAAGCCGTCCAAGTGACGCAACCCGAACGACCTGTCGTCGTCGGCCTTGAGCAGAAGGAGGTGAAGACTGTGAAGCCTGAACACATGATGTCAGTCAGCGCCTCATACGCAGAATCACCCGTCAAACAGCCAACACCACGTCAAACGACTGAGATCGCCACACAGACGACCAGTGTCACTGCACACGTCGTCGAGTCCAGTGAACACGTGATTGTTCAGAAGCCCAGCGTCCACGTCAAAGCCCCTCTCGTCACCGAGACCGTGGCATCAGAATCACCCAAACCTCAGGTTGTTCAGCCAGCACCACTAGTCGAAGCCACACATTTCGTCAAACGCACCACTGTCGACAAGCAAATCGACACAGTGCCGAAAGCCTCATCCGATGTCGGTGGACAGACCGACCTACACAAATCTCTGCTCGACAGTGAATGTCACTTGTCGTTGAAACGCACCGACGCCACGTTGCAGGCGAAACCTGCCCGATTGTGTATGGTGGACTCTCAGAGTGAGTTGCATGCACCAGTGAAAGTCGAGCCGCCAGTTGTTCCAGTTCAACAACCAGTGAAACGCACTCAAACATTGGAAGCCAGTATGCAGACGATGACGGAAGTGGCGTGTGTTGTGGACAGCGCGACCGGTGTGTCAATGAAGACGCCGGAAAGTATGCTGGATTCAGTCGCATCGTTTGTGAAGAGACCCAGTGTGAATGCTGAAGTGCAAGTGGACAGAGTGAGCACACCTGTCGTCAGTCTGACCACGCACAAGTTAGAATCGAGACCGGCAGAGCCGAGTCTGTGTACCAGTTGTGGACATCTGTATGTGAAGACCGAACAGACGGCTTGTCAGACCGTTCAAGCTCCGGCCGCGCCGGCTCCTGTTCCCATCAAGACATCGAGTGTCGCCCTTCAGACCACCAAGTTCTCCAGTCTCTGTCAGACGACCAGTCAACTCATGACACAAGTCACCCCACCACCATACGTCGAGTCAGCACTATCGGCCGCCACCAAGGTCGACAAGGCAGTCACACGCGATGTGGGCATGCAGTTCGGAATGCGTGTTGCCACCCGTGTCATGAACTCCAGCTACCAAGTGAAGCAGACCACCAGCCACACCTTGACCGAAGCTGTCGGAGTAGCAGAGCAAGCCGTCCAAGTGACGCAACCCGAACGACCTGTCGTCGTCGGCCTTGAGCAGAAGGAGGTGAAGACTGTGAAGCCTGAACACATGATGTCAGTCAGCGCCTCATACGCAGAATCACCCGTCAAACAGCCAACACCACGTCAAACGACTGAGATCGCCACACAGACGACCAGTGTCACTGCACACGTCGTCGAGTCCAGTGAACACGTGATTGTTCAGAAGCCCAGCGTCCACGTCAAAGCCCCTCTCGTCACCGAGACCGTGGCATCAGAATCACCCAAACCTCAGGTTGTTCAGCCAGCACCACTAGTCGAAGCCACACATTTCGTCAAACGCACCACTGTCGACAAGCAAATCGACACAGTGCCGAAAGCCTCATCCGATGTCGGTGGACAGACCGACCTACACAAATCTCTGCTCGACAGTGAATGTCACTTGTCGTTGAAACGCACCGACGCCACGTTGCAGGCGAAACCTGCCCGATTGTGTATGGTGGACTCTCAGAGTGAGTTGCATGCACCAGTGAAAGTCGAGCCGCCAGTTGTTCCAGTTCAACAACCAGTGAAACGCACTCAAACATTGGAAGCCAGTATGCAGACGATGACGGAAGTGGCGTGTGTTGTGGACAGCGCGACCGGTGTGTCAATGAAGACGCCGGAAAGTATGCTGGATTCAGTCGCATCGTTTGTGAAGAGACCCAGTGTGAATGCTGAAGTGCAAGTGGACAGAGTGAGCACACCTGTCGTCAGTCTGACCACGCACAAGTTAGAATCGAGACCGGCAGAGCCGAGTCTGTGTACCAGTTGTGGACATCTGTATGTGAAGACCGAACAGACGGCTTGTCAGACCGTTCAAGCTCCGGCCGCGCCGGCTCCTGTTCCCATCAAGACATCGAGTGTCGCCCTTCAGACCACCAAGTTCTCCAGTCTCTGTCAGACGACCAGTCAACTCATGACACAAGTCACCCCACCACCATACGTCGAGTCAGCACTATCGGCCGCCACCAAGGTCGACAAGGCAGTCACACGCGATGTGGGCATGCAGTTCGGAATGCGTGTTGCCACCCGTGTCATGAACTCCAGCTACCAAGTGAAGCAGACCACCAGCCACACCTTGACCGAAGCTGTCGGAGTAGCAGAGCAAGCCGTCCAAGTGACGCAACCCGAACGACCTGTCGTCGTCGGCCTTGAGCAGAAGGAGGTGAAGACTGTGAAGCCTGAACACATGATGTCAGTCAGCGCCTCATACGCAGAATCACCCGTCAAACAGCCAACACCACGTCAAACGACTGAGATCGCCACACAGACGACCAGTGTCACTGCACACGTCGTCGAGTCCAGTGAACACGTGATTGTTCAGAAGCCCAGCGTCCACGTCAAAGCCCCTCTCGTCACCGAGACCGTGGCATCAGAATCACCCAAACCTCAGGTTGTTCAGCCAGCACCACTAGTCGAAGCCACACATTTCGTCAAACGCACCACTGTCGACAAGCAAATCGACACAGTGCCGAAAGCCTCATCCGATGTCGGTGGACAGACCGACCTACACAAATCTCTGCTCGACAGTGAATGTCACTTGTCGTTGAAACGCACCGACGCCACGTTGCAGGCGAAACCTGCCCGATTGTGTATGGTGGACTCTCAGAGTGAGTTGCATGCACCAGTGAAAGTCGAGCCGCCAGTTGTTCCAGTTCAACAACCAGTGAAACGCACTCAAACATTGGAAGCCAGTATGCAGACGATGACGGAAGTGGCGTGTGTTGTGGACAGCGCGACCGGTGTGTCAATGAAGACGCCGGAAAGTATGCTGGATTCAGTCGCATCGTTTGTGAAGAGACCCAGTGTGAATGCTGAAGTGCAAGTGGACAGAGTGAGCACACCTGTCGTCAGTCTGACCACGCACAAGTTAGAATCGAGACCGGCAGAGCCGAGTCTGTGTACCAGTTGTGGACATCTGTATGTGAAGACCGAACAGACGGCTTGTCAGACCGTTCAAGCTCCGGCCGCGCCGGCTCCTGTTCCCATCAAGACATCGAGTGTCGCCCTTCAGACCACCAAGTTCTCCAGTCTCTGTCAGACGACCAGTCAACTCATGACACAAGTCACCCCACCACCATACGTCGAGTCAGCACTATCGGCCGCCACCAAGGTCGACAAGGCAGTCACACGCGATGTGGGCATGCAGTTCGGAATGCGTGTTGCCACCCGTGTCATGAACTCCAGCTACCAAGTGAAGCAGACCACCAGCCACACCTTGACCGAAGCTGTCGGAGTAGCAGAGCAAGCCGTCCAAGTGACGCAACCCGAACGACCTGTCGTCGTCGGCCTTGAGCAGAAGGAGGTGAAGACTGTGAAGCCTGAACACATGATGTCAGTCAGCGCCTCATACGCAGAATCACCCGTCAAACAGCCAACACCACGTCAAACGACTGAGATCGCCACACAGACGACCAGTGTCACTGCACACGTCGTCGAGTCCAGTGAACACGTGATTGTTCAGAAGCCCAGCGTCCACGTCAAAGCCCCTCTCGTCACCGAGACCGTGGCATCAGAATCACCCAAACCTCAGGTTGTTCAGCCAGCACCACTAGTCGAAGCCACACATTTCGTCAAACGC